TGGAGGAGGAGGAGGAGGAGGAGGAGGAGGAGGCGGCGGATGTGAGGAGGAGGAGAGGAGGAGGCGGTGGAGGTGGAGGAGGAGGCGGAAGTGGATCAGGAGGAGGAGGAACAGGAGGAGGAGGAGGAGGAGGAGGAGGAGGAGGAGAGGAGGAGTAAAACAGGTGAGGAGGAGAAGGAGGAGGAGGAGGAGGAGGGGGTGAAGGAATAAGAGGAGGAGGCAAGAGTGAGGAGGCAAGAGGGAGGAGGCGGACGAGGAGGAGAAAGTGGAGGAGAAGAAGGAGGAATACGAGGATAGTGCTGATGATGATTAGGAGGAGGAGGAGGAGACAAGGAGGTGGAGGAGGAGGCGGAGGCGGAGCAGAAGGAGGTGGAGGATTTGGAGGATGAGGAGGATGAGGAGGAGGAGGAGGCGGAGGAGGAGGAGGCCAATCCAAGGGGGCGTCGCGAGGGCGCGAAGGTAGTCGTGCATCGCGGGGGGCGTTGCGCGAAGTTGGGTCTGCTCTGGCCGGACTTTGGGGGGCCTCCTCCCCCTGGGGTCTCCCGCCAGCGCGCGGCCAGGGGACACGAGGACTCCGACCTCGTCATCCTCGGCCTGCAGGATCGGGTCGGGGGGCGCGGGGGTGTCTTCAGCTTCGCATCCTGCCGCCTTCCTCCCTCCATCCTTCTTTCTTCCTCCTCATCCTCTTCCTTTCGCCCTCGTCCTCCATCCTCCTCCTCATGCTCCTCATCATCCTCCTCATCCTCCCATCGTCTTCGTCTTCCTTCCACGTCCTCATCCTCCTGTCTCCCGCCTTCTCTCTTCCTTTCTCGTCATTGTCGACCTTTTCCGATTCTCCTACTCGTACTCCCTCCCTTGTTGTGAACTGTCTTGTGTCCTCTTCCTCCTCCTTCTCTTTCTCCTCCTCCTCATCATCCTCCTCGTCCTCCTCGTCCTCCTCCTCCTCGTCCTCCTCCTCCTCATCCTCCCCACCATCCAGGCTCAAGCTTCGCTCGCCGAGTCGCCCCCCGCCTCCCGCGACGTCGCCACACCTGCCGCCGAAGGGCGCCCGCGGCACCGCTCGATGCAGCGCGAGGCGCTGTCTTCGCGGCGCACCGCCGCCGCAGGGTGGACGGGTGGCGCGGAGTGCCTCGATGCGGCACGTTTCCGTCGCGTTGCCGAGGGTTGTCTCAGCGCGGCCGCGGCCGCCCTGGCGGCGCCGCCTGCCCCCGCCACCCCTCCGATGGAGGCGGCATCTCCCACCGCTGCTGTTCGGCGGCGCCGCCGCCGCCCGCGTGGACGAGGCGGCCATTTGAGAGCGGGCTTGGCGCAGTCAGCGATGGAGGGCGACGAAGGGGGCGCTGAGAACGGCGACGCTGCGCAGCACAAAGACAACAGCATGGGCAAGGTCGGCCCGCGCCTGCCTGACGGATCGGGAGCGCTGGACTTGACGGCCCCCGGTCCCCTCGAGTACGGCGGCATGAATGACGAGTGGTCGGATGATTTGCCCGCGCGGAAGCTTTCGCGCTGCCCAAGGTTTTCGGGCCTGCGGGATGGGATGGTGGCCGCGGTCATGTTCGTGATGGTCGTGACGGGGCGCTCTACGGCGATCCCAGTGTGGAGGACGGCCATGTGGGCGTCCAGGGTAGGCACGGCCCGCCGCGCGGTGGTGTGGACCATCGTCGTCCTGGATGTGGAGCCATTCGGGAGGTTAGCGTTGGCGCCCGGCTCCGGAGCGGCGGGGGTGGGCGATAGTGCCTTGTTGGGCCGTTTTCCCGCTCAACGTTTTCCTCTGCGGCCTCGCGGTTGCGTTCGTTAAGCCATTCGGTTTCAACATCATGTTCGCGGGGTTCCTCAGCATCTGAGGCAAGGCGCCGAATCTCCGCTTCTGGGGATATTATCGCCCTTGTCATCCTCACAATCTTGTTTGCAACCCGCATCTCTTTCATGTGCGTGTTCAGCTTCGTTGTCGCGTTCATACTGATCAGCATCAGAACCAGCACCGTCATCATCAGCATCATCATCATCGTCACCCTCACCATTTCCACCATTACCATGGGAGGTCGGTCTTGCACCACAGCGCCACCTGCGCAGCGCGCCGCGCCCGCTCAGAACTCCTTGGGATTGCTCTGGGTCGCCTATGCCGACCCGTGATCATCACTATCACCACCACGCTCATCATTGCACCACCGTCCGCATCACCATCTTTGCCATTATATTGGTCAGTTGTCGTGGCCGTCCTGGTTCAAGCTATCGTGGCCCAGCGTCGACACACGAATCCCTGGCGCTTCGAGCCTGCTCACTGCTGAGGGACGAGATCGAAACCAGGGCACAGCTAGCTACCCTTGTTGTGATTTGCCCCCCTTCCCCCCCCCCGTCTCCGACCTGTTAGGATTTTGATCTGCTCGAGGGGGAAGGCTCGCGAAGGCACGGACGCGCTGATCTCCGAGCTGACAGCCCAGGTGGCCAAGGCGAACGCCCCCTCTCACTTCGGCAATGGCGCAAGTATCTGCGTTCGTCCTTCGCGCCAAGGCATTGCAACTTGGGGCGGACGAGCAGAGGACGAACTCTTAAGACAGATAAAGAGTTGGCCTTTTATCTGCTCGTCTGCGAACAGCAACGACTTCGGCGACGGCAGCGAAGGCGCTGACGGCAGCTCTGCTAAGGCACCCCGTGATATGACCCGTCCTCGTCTCGCTTCTCCCGGTTTTCGGTCGAAGGCCGTCATTTTCGGTTTCAGTGATGAGTGTGTTCGCGAGGTGTTGTTCGAAGCGGACGTTGCAGTTCTCTCCTCGCGCGCTGCAGGGCGTGTTCAAGTCCGCGCTGAAGGCCGCGGCCCGCCCCGAATCTGAGCGAAGAAAGAATGTATTGCCGTTCCGTTTGCCGAAGCATTTTCCGACGCGGTCGACGCGGCCAGGAAGGCTTGCCCCGGCCGCTTCGAGCGCCCCACCCCCAGGGCCCCGCGCGCTGCGTCTCGAGCCCCATCGCGACGGCGAGTTTCCACGAGCATTTGGCTGCGATGGGTGGGATTCGCAGCGAGTCCGGCGCGACAGCGAAGACTTACGCGCCCCGCTCGAAGCGGCCCATCGATTCGTCAGTCGGCAACGGGCTCATCTCAGCAATTGACCTGTGGCGCAGCGGGGCCCCTCCACGTTGCCAAGCCCAATTCGGGAAATGTGCCGTTTTATTTCTTCGAGGACAAGTAGGCGAGCAGCACGTGATTGTGGACGCAGTCTTTTGGCAGTTCAGCGAGTGACGACAATGCGAAGTCGTCCTTTGTCCTTATCTGGGGCTGGGTGGCCCACGCAGGACACTGCGCTTCTATAGGGTGCAGGCCACCTGCGAGATGCACAATCATTTTCACGGGGACGTTCATCATTATTTTGCAAGCTGACTATTGTCGCCCGATGGGGATCCATGTCGAACGACATCGGGCAACAGAGCCTCGCCTGTCGGTTGTTCAGCGACGGTTGCTGGGATCCGCACGGGATCGCTCGCTTGACCGAGGCGAGTGTGGGGATTGGGGACCTCCCGCCTGCTGGCCGTCCCCACCGCGGCCCTGCTCCTCTGGTTCGGCGGCGAGCGAGGGGAGGAAGTGAGAAGGAGATTGCCCTCTAAGAAAGCGGCGGGTCTGCTCAGAAGCCCTCGCGCGTCCTGACAGGTTTCTGTTTTTTTTTCCAGGAAGGCTTCGAACATTTTGTGTCCAGAAGGCCGGGGGACTTCCGAACCCTCCGAAGAAGCAAAATCACAAAAAGACTCCCCCTGTTTTATTTCCCCGTCAGTCTCGCCGCCGATGCTCCCCGTCCCCTCCGCGGCCATGCTCCTCGGGCGGCTGCTCTGGCCTGCGTCGCCCTCTGCGCGAGAAGGGGAACTCTTTCCTCTTTGCCGCGCTGCGGCGAGGCGCGTCGCCCCCCCCCCCCCCCCCCGCTTCCTCTCGGCGGCGAGCCTCCGCCTCGTCTTCTCAGATGCTGCCTCCTCGTGCCTCCTCCTCCTCCTCGACCTCCTCCTCCTCCTGCTCCTCCTTGTCCTCCTCCTCCTCGTCCTCCTCCTGCTCCTCCTTGTCCTCCTTGTCCTCCTCCTCCTGGTTTTCCTCCTCCTCCTCCTCCTCCTCCTTGTCCTCCTCGTCCTCCTCGTCCTCTTCATCCTCCTCCTCCTCCTCCTCCTCCTCCTCCTCCTCCTCCTCCTCCTCCTTCTCCTCCTCCTCCCTCTCCTCCTCCTGAGTCGTTTATCTTCCTCCCGCCCATCCTTCCGCCGCGGCCCGGCCGCGCCAGCTTCCCTACCGCAGCCGTGGGCTCCCCCAGCGCCCTGAGATCCGACGTTTCGAACCTGTTAAGGCGGGCCTGTTCCTCTACAGGAGGAATATTCAAAAATAGTAAAAACATCTTTTTGGGACGATGTTTTGACAATGTTTGGCAATTCGGGGGCATTTTTTGACGATTTTTAATTTGTCGTCCAAAGTCGCCTGCAGGGGGGCACGCCCGACCTAAACCTAGGGCCCGAACCCGGCAGCATCTCCTCTTCCCCCTCCTGAGCCAGGGGGTCAAAAATCACGACCCTCTGATTACGAGGTTAGCAATAGCGGCATCGCTGCCTCATCTGACACCGCGCGGCTCGGCTCTGAGGTGCCGTCTTTCGGGGGCACTCGGAGCGCAGCCTGCTCAGCAGCGATTGCATCGCATGCCAGCATTCGTTGGGCGCCCGTCCCAGTCCCCTGGATCGGCGGCGGAACCGGGGGGGGAAAGTGAGAAGGGGCGGGCCTTCTCGGAAGGCTCGGAAGTTCTCGGTCCTTCTGAAGGGGGCTCGACGCCTTCTCCGAAGACGCCGAAGCCTCCTCAGGAGGCCCGAGGGCCTCTCTGCGAAGTCCTCCTCCCTCCCGCTTCCCCCCCCCCCGCGCTCGCCGCCGGTGCTCCTCGCCTCGATCGCTCCCCCCATTGCCCTCCCGCAGGAGTTCGGCGACAAGGACTACGGCTTCGCCGGCCTCGCCAAGCGCACCCTCTGGAGGGGCCCGTCGGAGCGCAGGCCTCGGGGGGCCGCGGCCCCCGCGCGCCGGGTGGGCGAGCACCGCTCGTCCCCCTCTTGGCATCGCTCGGACGTGTGGATTTTTCCTTCGATGAGGACCATCGAGGGCCATCCTTGATCATTTGGCGGAAAAACCACGCACGAAACCAAAAAAACACAGGGAATGGACGTCCGAGCGATGGCCAGCCCTGGTCCTCGCCTTATCTCGGAGGCGACGATCGGGTTAGGTCGGGCCTGTCCCCCTACAGGGAGAGTTTGGGCGAAAACATGGAAAGTACCCCAAAAAGGAATCCAAACATGTTCAAACATAGTCAAAACATCGGCCCCATACTATTTCTTCTGGCTATTTTTGGATGTTCCTCCTGTAGAGGGACAGGCCCGACTTGACGATAGGGGCGGATAGCCCAGGGGGAAGCAACGCATGTGTCCAGGGGCGCCGACGATCTGTGTCTTCGACAAGGCTCCCGGGCGAACACGTGTAATGCCCGCCCCTGGGCCGTTCGCCCCTATCGTCGCCGCCGGTGGTCCTCGTCTCCATCCTCTGCGCCATCCCTGTGTTTGTCGCCCCCCTGTCTCTGCCACCACTCCCGTTCGATACACGAATGCGTAGAGAGTCTCGTTGTTTTATATGTCTCTCTCTCTCTCTTTTGCTTTGTGTGTTGCTTTGTTTGTTTCGTTCTCTCTCTCTCTCTATATATGTATGGCTATCTCTCTCTCTTTTGTTATGTATTGCTCGCTATTTCTTTATATATGTGCTATGTTTATAATTGTCATATTTCTTTATTTATATGTATGTGTTGTATGTTTTAAGTTTCGTTATCTCTCTCTCTCTCCCTCTCTCTCTCTCTTTTTATATCTCTATCCCTCCTATGTGTCTCCTGTTTGTATTATGTTATATCTCGTTTTCGCCGCCTCTCTCTCTCTCTCTCTCGGTATTTGCCGTTTCCTCGTTATTCCCTTCTCTCCCTACTTGGTTGTTTCTCTCCGTCTCTCTCTCTCTCTCTCTTGGCCCCTTCTCTTTATATAGTTGTATTTAATTCCTCTCTCCAGGTCCCTCTCTCTGTATACAGATAAAGATGTCTCTCTTGCCCTCTCTTTCTTCGGCCAGCTTCTTGTATACCTCGTACTCGTTCTCCATTCTCGGATTATGAGACGGTGTGGGGGTGGGTTGTCTAAGTCTGGTGCGGTTCGAATTGATATGGCGGCGAAGTTTTCCTAGGCCGTTTTCAAATAGGATCGCGATCACTATACGATTTCTTAGTCTGACGTCATCCCAGGAAGGTTTTGGACTCATCCCTGTGAACTCTCTGCATGGTTCGAATGTGTGTCGAAGGTGCTTCTAGCACGTCCAAGCACTTCCAGACGTGTCCAAAAAATTGAACGGCTTCCGCACGCATCCGAAAGCTGCCAACTGTTCTACGATGTGCTCGACTACGGTAGAGAAGCGCTTCCCGCCGAGCCGACCCCCCCCAAGCGGCCCAAGGAAGGAGACGTTCGTCTAGGACGGGAATAAATCGTTCCAGCACGCTCTTAGAGCGTTCCGGAATGTTTTGAAAATGCTGTTGGGCTCGATACATGTTTCAGAACCGCGAGCTCTCAGATATATTCGATTCATCCCAGTCCGATGCTGTCCCCGAGCGCTCCTGGGCCGCCTTGGGGGCCACATCGGGGCCCTCTTAGGGAGCCGTCTTGGGGGGCCGCTGCGTCTTGAGGTTGCTCCAGGGCCGTCGTCTTTGGGGCGCTCGGGGGCCGTCTTGGGGGCCACTCCGTCTCGTGCTTGGGGCGCTCGTCGAGGGCCGTCTTGGTGGCTGGAGCGTGTTTCTTCATTGCTTGAAGCACAACGGGCACTATAGCCCCTGGGCTCCCCTTTCCCCCCCCTTTCACGCAACGCCCCTCCCCCCCCCAGGGCACTGCCGCCGTGCGCACGGCGGGGGGAGGCGTTACATTGTACCCCCCCCTGGCCCCTCCCCCCCCCCCCCCTACAATGCCCACTATCGCCGAACATAAACGAGACGCGCTCCTGCAGCGAGGCCCTCCCCGGGGGGCCCTCCTGGCGCCATCGGGCGGCAGACGGGGCAGGGCGGGGCCCCGCCGAGCCGCAGCCCCCGGTGGGGCCGTGGCGGGCGCCTCTTGCGCGGGGCGGGGGGCGGGGCCGCCGCCGAGAGGCCCGGTCCGCCGCCTCGGGCGGAGGACAAAACGTCTGGGCCTTCTCCTCCGCCTCCGAATCCTCCGCCTCCTCCTCCTCCTCCTGCCTGCCTGCGACCTCCAGCATCCCTTGCCTCGCGGAGGAGGAGGAGGAGGAGGAGGAGGAGGAGGAGGAGGACGAGGACAGATGGGGGACGAGTGCAGATGAGCACAGGAGGAGGACGAGTACAGATGGGGCACTGAGGAAGGAATCCTTTTCGTTTGGGGGGGGCTCGGTGTTCCTTAGTTGTTCTGCAGTTCGCCTTTGGTTTTTCTTAGGTCTTCGATGGGAAATCGAAGTTTAACTTACGGGAAACAGATGCCTCATTCCTTATGTAGGGTTCGATAGGTCAACACCCCTTCCTGTACAGATGGGGTCGGGTGATCGCGCCGCATCGCCGATACATCGGCGGTGCGGCTCGATGTGGAGCCCGATGTTCTCCACGCCGACGTCGCCGATGCGTCGCCGATGCATCGGCGATGCAGCGCGATCCTCCAAATCCATCTACTCCGACCCGGTCTAGGAGGCCTCTAATTTGTGGAGGTCCGCCTGGGAGGCGCCAGCAAGCGGGCTCGGCTGCGCGGGCCTGCGCGCGGAAGCTGGCCACGCAAGGTCATGCGTGAGCCGTGGGGAGGCCTCGTTGCCAGTGACGGGCCCTCCTGTCGGGAGCTCGAAAAGAAGACGTTCGACATCTTGGACCTCCTGTTTCCATGTCCCAGGCATCCAGTCAGGAGGTAGCCCGTCGGCATCAGGCCGTACGTGTTGCCTTCTTCGCCAGGGGCGGCGTCTGGTTGCCCAGTCTGTCATGGAAGTGTACACGTTCAATGTGTATGCCATCGGTGCAGAATCCAGCTCTTTATGGATTGCAGGCGTGTCTGCTCACGCAGAAGCAGTGTGCTAGCTTGGACGCCACAGTGGCGAGCTATTCTCGCGTGGCCATGCGCGGGCGTGCCAGCTGGAAGACGGAGGCTGGAGCGACTCGCACGTCGACGTCACAAGGTGTTTTGCAGCACTGGCGCATATGTGAAACGTACGTTGAGCTCGGCAGTAGGCAGCTTATCTGGTACAAGGCCTGGGCTCGCGTTCCCTCCAGCCACCTGCAGTTGCTCTCGGTCCTCTTCGGTTCGGATCCTTTTCGGGTCGCAGGCGGCGCCCATGGTGGAGGGGACTCGTACTTCAAAGGCTTCCCCGTGGGCTCGTCGTGTCGCTGAAGATTTCGAGCGGGCGCGGGAACTGTTGCGCGATCGCGAGGATATGTTGGGTTCTCCCGCTGTTCGTCCTGAACTCATGTGGGACCCCGAGGTTCAGGAGGAGCTCGATCAGATCGATTTCGCCGAGGTACGTTCTTGCCTATTTGGTTCCCAAGTGGCGCCCCCTGATTACACCGAGCAGGCTCCAGAGGCTAACCCCGAGGTTACTGCGGATCCTGGGGAGCCTGAGTTTGTTTGCCAAGTTGAGGCTTGTGGGGGAAGGTTTGCCACAACAAAGGGACTCATGGCCCATCTGCGTTCACGGCATGATTACCGATCACGATGTCATATCTGGACTCCAGCAAATATATGTATGTGTTGTCGGGAAGCATTCTGGGACAAGGCATGTGCAGCAAGGCGTCTAGTTTCAGCTGCACTGCAGGGGCAGTGCCGATTCGGTGGGGGTTGGACGCGACGACCTCTGGAGCCTCCATCGACGTTGGTGTGTCCCCGGCGCGAATTCGAGGCTGTTGATCTGGACGATTTACGCCATCACTCACGCAGCCATCTGCCTGGCCCAGTTCTTCCGAGGCAACGGACACGGCTGCCAAACACTCCTAACTGGGATGTCGGCGGCAGCGTCGGCGTCTGCGACGGGACAGATGGTGCAGGCAGCTTCATGGATGCAAGATGTTTAGGTCCCTGCGAAGCGCGGAGCAGATGAGGCCCCACAGTCGGCACCGCCACCAAACGATTCGAAGAAGGAAGGACAGCGCAAGGCGAAGAAGTGAGACATGTATGAAGCGCTGGTCAAGGTGGTCGCAAAGCTGTGCTTCAACGGCGCCCGCGAGCTGGCCAACCTAGCGGGCACGGTGTTTCAGACATGGGAGCTACAGGGCGAAGACAAGGGCGTCACCAAAGTCATGATCGACGCAGGCGCAAAGTACGACGCCGCTTCACACAGCACACAGCCCCAAGGAGCGCCAGATGAACGGCGAGAAGATCGACGATCGCGCAAGAGGACCACCACATGTGCAGCTGTGGGCGGCGGTGTCCCTTCACTTCGTCAACTGCACGGACGCGTCTCGATGGCAGCGATGGGCAGAAAGAAAGCGAGAAGAAGGTGTTCTAGCAGTACTTCCAGCAACACATCGATGCGAAGACCCCGCAGCAGGTAGCCAAGCACGCGCTGCACTTCAGGTATCGCAAGCACAAGCACACGAGCAAGAAGGCTCGGGAGGAGGACAACGACAAGACGCTGAAGGGCCGCATGACGTTCGCGTTTTCGCACGACGAACCAGGTCGCGAGGCGAGGCCGCCGATGATTCAGTTCCTGAACAACGCGGAGGTCTCCAAGGCGGCGCAGCTCATGAGGCTTGCCCCTCGTGGGCCCCCGGAGAGGGAGGCAGCGCGCCTCCTCGCCCTGATCGACAAGGGCAAAAGCGATTGAGCCAGCGGCGTGCGGTCGCATCCAGAGAGAGAGAGAGAGAAGCCGCTCGCGCTCGAGAGAAGGAGCGCGTGCCAGAAACAACCTGCGCAAGGGTACTTTTGTAGGCAGTGAACGCTTAGGTTTTTTAGTGGCCCGAGGGGCAATCCCCGACCCGTTCCAGGACACGCGCTTTGATAC